TCTTTCTTTCAGCAATTCTCTTAGCTTTGTGCAGTTTGGGTGGTTTATTATTATCTCTTCAGGCAGTGGGGAGCTAAGCTTACTCAGAGGGCTGCCTGTTCTTTGGGAGGCAAAGTGTAAAGCTTATAACTTTGCCTTGCTCAGTGTTTCTTTTCATTTTCCTTTCAAGTGAATGCCTTGAAATATTTGGGTGAAATGAGGGTTAAATAGGGGCTATGGGGTGCTTTTTATTAGTGGGCAGAAGAAATAAAGAACTAGGCAGCTATTGAAGCTTAGCTAGCTAGATTCTTGATTGGCATTAATCCCAAAGACACAACCTATCCTGCTTCTAAAATGTGAGTATGAGTACAGGTGGAAAGAACACATTAAAGAATTACAGTACTGACCTTGGCTTAATAATGGGTTGTTATCTCAGGTGAAGATTAGTGGTTAATTTTTTTATTCATTTGCAATGTTTAATTTTTAATTGGGATGAGATTTTCATTATTAAGAGAGGGACTGCTTATGTTGCTAGTTAAGTCTGTCAATCTTTACACCCTTTGTTGATTAGGAGAGCCGAGGATTTAGAGATGGGTTTATAGAAAAGGGGTGAATTATGGAATGAAAATATATTTCATAGTATTTTAAGAGACAGTGATAAATTGTTAATGTTGTATGAACTTGCTGAGGATGAAGGGGGAAGTTTCTGCTTCTTACTACTTTTATTTTTCTTTTTCTTTTTCTTTGCACAACATCATCAGTTGGGAAGCCTGCAATTCATTAGATTAACCAGGAGAGAGTTGAATATTATGTAGCTGATTTCTAGCTATCTGTCTTGAGGATCTGTTGCCACACTCAGGTTCTCAGGAAAACATATTTCTTCACATTCTGGGGGCAAAATATACCATATATTTAGCAACAACGTGAGATTCTCCACACAATGCATGTCTTCTGAATCATAGTTTCAGTCAGAATGAGATTTTACCTTTGATTGCCCTTTTCCAGAGTCAGAAGGGGATGGGGAATTTACTTTTAAGAAGCCAAGCCTCCCACTTTAAGTCCAATATTTTTACTGCATTTGTACACAGTATAGCTTAAAAGAGGAATGCTCTCTAACATTGCAAATATACTGATAATGGTGACCCCTGTGGATCACTGCTATTTTTGGTAAGCATCTCATGATGGCAGTGAAAGAGAAATGTATGTCTTCAGCATTCAGATCATGCCTGTGGCTTCTTTTCTGAAGTGGCTGATGCCACAATATCACTGGTTTGTAGAATTCACCATTATTCCTCTAGATGCTTGTCCATGAAAATCACCTAACTCAGGAGAACAGCTAGACAGCTGAAGATTCTGTAGACTCA